TGATACTCAACACTCATGCTCCTTGTGAGGCATTTCAGGGATGAGAGTGCTGAGTCAGCAAGAAAGTGCAATGATTTAGGGATCATTTCCCCTCACTTCTCTCCTTCCTTCTCCTCCAGAAACACCACAGTGAGATGGCCTATTTCTCTAAATAAACCTGTGCAGAGAATTGAAGGACTTCCTGCTTTGTAGGCACTCACCCTAAAATGGACCTTCCGCGCTACAAAATTAAAACCTAGAGATGCTGTGGCCATAACGTTCAGCTGGCTGTACTCTAGAAAATAGGAGAAGGAAAAGGAAGTGTCTCAAAACTTTAAGATCTATTTTACAGCTTATGCTATGTGTTATGTGTTTCTGGTGCAAAGCTTCCATGCTTTACGAGTTGGCAAAAAGTTTGCTAGACAGGACACTTGGAAGTGGAGAGTCACCAAGGCAACAGCTGGTTCTGCTAGTAGCTTTTTTTAGGCTGCATTACTGTCCATCATTCCATTTAGATGAAGATAAATCCTTGGGAGAACAAGAACGGGGCAGCCCAACATTATCAGCTCAGGTACCGCAGACAAGCTGTGGAGTTCTTTATCCCCCTTACTGGTTTCCCATTTAGCTCAATGACAGAAAGTCACTACTACCTAACAGCTACTCCATGTCTCTTATGGAATTTCATTCTTCTCAGCCTTTCCAACTCAGTTTGAAGGCAAAGAGAACCACCAGTGCATGCACCAACTGTGGTGGAGAACAAGCCCTGGTCCCCACACAGAGCCATCAGTTTGCAGGATTGCCGTGGAGGCCTCCCAGGCATCTCTCTGCAGGCACAGTCTAGATCCAATGTGAAGAAACTATTTTAGTATATTTCTTCCTATAAAGACACACAGTATTACTAGATCATGGTGGAAGGCCACAGACACAGGCTATTTTGCTGGTCTATCAGGAATTGTATGATATTATAAAAAAAAACAGCCAAACATACGCAGGCACATTCATTTGTTTTCTTACCTGGGTGGTAGGGTCCCTCAGTCAGGCAACATCACTCTAAGACTTTTTTTTTCCCCTCCCAAAATACTCACCTCACCATGAGAAACAAACATAACATACGACCATAATAACTGAAGGAACAAGAAATACTATTCTGTTTAAACGATGGCACAAGGTCACAAGGTCACACCTTCAAAATATTTGTCCAGGTACTGAAAGCCCAATAACCAAGAACCTGAATGAGAACATCCACATTTTGTTCTCTCTAAAGGAGGAAGTTAATTAACCTCCCCAAATGGCTTTTCCCTGACAAAGCAACTCTATTGCCAAAGTTAATTCAAGAATGGATTCTTACTGTCTCCAGAGACACCTTGACCAAAGATCCTCTCTCTCCTTTCTGCCTCTTCTCTGTTAAAAAAAAAAAAAAAACTGTATCCACAATTGCAGCAGTAACTTCTGCCTTACATAGTAAAATGACAAAATAAATGCCCTGCTCAAGATTTTTAGCTATGATCACTAGTGTAGAAATTTGCAAGCTGAACAACCCACTGCAATCCTCTTACTCTGATGATGGTAACTTTGAAGTCCACTGACATCAGTTCTTAAACAAGCGTGTTGTGAGATACCTCCTGACAGCAGGATCAACAGAAATTGACACTAGCAATATAGGAAGTGTCAAACAAGGCATCCAGGTGCTATGATGAGAGGAACAATGGAAATGTCAAAGGGTAGGCTGACTCAGGACTGGGGAAACAACTGTTCAAGGAGGCAGGGGGATATTAAAGAAATGTAGCCCTTCACATAATAGAATTGTTTATTGAGAAAGGAATACATAAGAAACAATCCATCTGGGAAAGGGCACCATACCCTCATGATTCCTCTGATTCTCCATACAACCAAAGGCAGGAACAGAAAGAAATGTCCAAGCTCATACGTGCAAAAATGGTTAGAACCATTTAATAAAAAAAGGCATGTACTGAAGAAAGCTTGTACCTTCCCAAAATCTTTCTGACACTAGACTACAGACATCCCACATCTTGAGTCTAACTCTGGCTACCACTGGCCCTGGTATCAGTATCCTAGCAATATCTTCACATGCAGAAGAAGAACATGCCAGAAAAGAACTTTATCTCAGTATGTCCAGACATCAGCGATGAGGTGAAGGAAGCAATGTTATGGACATTGCTATGGTCTGACTTCTTGAGTAGATTCATCCCTGCTACAGAAAGCAGCAGCAATGGAAAAGTTAAGGCCTCTTTTCACTACTGTTGAAGAAGGTCTATGAGTGCCTTCAGAAAGGCAGCTCCTCACATCTTGTGGCTGCTAGGAAACACACAGACACACAAATGATAAAACCAACCCCAGGGACACACAATGAAATTCCAGCTACTGCTTCTTGCCCTGTAGAAAGTAGCAAATACTTCACCAATCTACTGACCATAAAAAGATGCTTAGAACTGACTAGCTGAGAACATTAGCATCAAAGTGGCCCATGAGGGACAGAAAAATAGAGTAAGATTGAAGAGGTTTCCTTGGAGCTAAGCAGGAACCTGGCTAAAAGCCCTTGAGGAACCCACTTCCTTCTTAATCTGATTTGCATTTAATTGCTTCCTAATGACTGTGCCCCTGTTTCACCCCAACAGGCTTAGGCACTGGTGGTGCTGCCTCTGAAGCTTCTCATCTCCCATCTAAATTACCCTGTGGGTAATTTAGAGGCCCCAGTTTAATGGTTGACAGAGGATCTGAAGAGAGTTAAGTACTATTTGCATTCAAGCAGCACCCACCAGTATACTGAGTACTAGGACAATCTACACCAAAAGTAGCCCTTTTTGATTCACAAGATATATCCCCATCTCAGACATGAATGCAGCTGCATGCATCCTATCTCCAGAAGGAGAGGCACAGTAGCTGCACCTGGACCTGCTGGTACTATACACAGTCCTAGTGTCACTAAACCCAAACCTCACAGAAACTCTGCTCTAAGCACAGCACAAAAAAAAAAAAAAAAAAAAGCTGGAAATCAGTAACCAACTCATACACATGTTTAAAAGGAAAGTCCAAACTCAGTATATGTTCACCTGGCTTCACTGGAAGGACAGAAAGGCAGAAGAATGCAATTCATGGCCAAGAGCACCAAAGATCTATCAAGAACAGAGGCAAGTACAAGTACAAAGCATCTGGATAACTATCCTTCACACAGAACACTTGGGAGGAGGATTCATGTTCTCTTAGTCTCATCCAGTGCCTAACCTTTAGAATCAACTTCTTAAGTATCACCCTCTTCAGAGATGGTTCCAGACCAACAAACTTTCTTTTTTTTTTTTTTTTAACATTTGCCAACAGGAGGACAGATCTTCACAGGTCAAAGAATTTTGCCAATTCACACTATGTCTGCATTTACTCTCTCCTCTCCATCTCCCCAATCATTCCTCTTCACACAGCCAAAGGCTAGCGCTGGCCACGCCACTCTGCCACAGACAGATGCTGACTCAGCTAGCCTTGGCTGCCTCACAAGGAGAGCACAGCTCTGAGCAGCATCAGCAAACAGGGCCTGGACCAGCTGCAAAGGTATGAATTGACAAACCACTGAAGCCTGCATGACAGAGGTTAATGAAGTCATGGACACATACAGCAAAAGGTCAGGAATTTGCAAGGGCTGCTACAAAAAGCTGCCAAATAACGAGTTGTCCACAGTACTGATGACTCCATAACTTGGTTGTTGCCCAAGAAAGCTACAAGCAGTCCTTCTGCAAACCAGGCTTCAAAGGCAAACAGCAGAAACATGGGCAGGTGGAAAGCAAAGCTCAGGAGTCCAACAAGCCCATCCCTAATTTGTGTCAGGGTATCAGTCCCACTCACTTAGGATGAAGCACTGTAACAGAACTGCTTAACATCTTTACATAGGAGAGGATGAGAACAAGCCTAGAGAAACTGCTCTGTAAACTATCCTAAATACTCTTTAAGACCATGCTGTTGGTGTCAATTTTCTGCCAGAAGAACCCAAAGCATGCTTAAGTCCAAATGCCATTGATTTCTAATTTTGGATGAGGTCTGAACCAGTATGGCTGACACACACCTTGGTACGATGCAGGAAATGGAGCCCAATGCTCAACCACAAGGCCTACTGCTGTGTCCAGCTTTAGAGCTCCTCTGGTCTGAGAGTCCCTGGAGAGCACTACCTCATGCATTTCAACCACATCAGTTGCCTACATTTTGTACATACTAAGAAGAAAAAAGTTAAATATCTTATTTTAAAAGTATTGCACAGACTTGTCTAATTTGGTGTAGACCATATTTCTCACTCCAACTCAGCCCTGAGCTTGAATAGAAGAGAGACAGTGGCTACACTATACAAAGAGAAGTAAAACTTAGCAGCAGTCACAGAACAAGATATTGTATAGCTGCAGGATTGAGACCTGTGCTGCACCTTTCACTCTGAGGAGCAACAGGGATTCTTATATTTCTCACTCGAAATGCATTTTCTATTCACATTAGTTAGCTATATCAAAACACAACAAAATAGAGTCTTACAGTGAAATGTATCATTGCCCAATTACCTCTGATTTCTTGAAAGACTGAAAGGCCTAATTCATCCTTATTATTTCCTGTCCAAAACTCTGCTTTTACTTAAAAGTCTCAGCCTTCAAGCATTATATGCTTGGATAAACAGTATAAGAAACCACTGCCAGGCCATTCTTTGCTCCTGACCTCCACACAACCACTCCAGACAGCAGGGATCTGGTAACAAGGCCCATACAATAAGAACCTGAATCTCCAACAGGCATAAGCAAGCAGTGGTTGCACGTGCCTCCTCTTGACAAAGGAACTTCTCCATTCAGCAATGCAGGTATTGCCCAATTCTTATCCAGAATGCTCCACAGTTTGCCTCTGCAGTTATCAACAGTTTGGTAGAAGTTATGTTGAATCATTAAGCTGACAGCTTGATAGCTTGTTTTATGGTAATGGCTTTGGCAACACACCTGTGCCTCAAAGAGCTTCCGAGGAACACAACCAGTAGTATAACCTACCTGTGATTTGAGGAAGTCATATTCCTCTGATCCATATGGGACATTGCGAAGGGAGGTGAGGTAGTCATAGGTGATAACTGCCGTCTGCAAACAAAAACAGAAAAGTTGATCAAGCTCTGCAGTTATCTTGGACTGAAAAACAACAAACCATCTGTTTAGGAGGATGTATGTAGTTCAGGCTACAAAGTTTAAGCTCTACAGTAGAGTTCACAGTAATAAACTGTAGAAACAAAAAAAAGCATTAAACATTTAGAGAAAGCAGTACAGGGATCTCAGTGGCACGCAGCTATTAAAAATAGCCAATGTTTGGCATTTCTGTACTATCTTCCTTTTGAGAAGTTCTAAGCACTTTCATAATCTCTGTACTGCACCTTGCACCGTGAGCTCAGATTTTAGCCAGCCATCTGGGGTTTCCACAATAAGGTCTGCAGCTAGTAATGCTACAGAAGCCCTGTTTGTGCCCCACCCATTATCCTACACCTGATCTTCACACCTCCAGCTTGTCTAACTGCACACTGGCACATAGGGAGCTCGGTCTAGAAAGAAGGCTCAGCAGGGAAACAGAGTGGCTCTACACAGGCTCACTGATAACCACAGGCAGTAGTACTGGCAGGGATACTCAACTTCATGAAGGACTAGAGGGCAAAAGGGTCAGATACCCAATTACAAAAGAGCAGTATGGAGAACCAGCTAAAGCTTATTAGCTAGACATAGCCACAGACAATAAAACGAGATTTCCAAATGCCTTAATTTCTGAAAATGAATATTGGGTATTTCACAGTTTTAACCTTTGACTGAAGTTCCTCTCTTTCCAACAGTCAGGCCAGCAAATGGAACATAAAAACACAGCTCATGCCCTCAAAATTTACTTGGAGGTAGAGAAAGGAATGTCACTTAAACTTTAAGATCCTTGCCGTAAAGAACTATTTGTATGTAACAGATCTATAGCTTTCCTAAATCCTCCCTAGCAAAGGGGTGGCATCTCACTGCAGAATGGGATACTTGGCCTTCTTTCACTGCACATGTGCTTAGGAAAGGCACAGATGAAACACCTAAAGCACAATCAGAGGATCAGAAAAGTCAGGCAGAAATGGAGATTCTATCTGTTTCAAAACAAAGTGACTGAAGTCAACAAAGCAACAGTCAAAGGCTCAGAGATGCATCCATGAGGAAACCCAGCTAGGAATGAGATATAAATAGATGTATTTTTTCGTTGTGGAGTTTAGGTTTCCTGTTTTCCAGACTAGAAACTGAGCAAACCAAATTTTTTTTTTCTGGTTTTTCAGGCTCTCTTGCCTCTTATGAATTCATAAGGTGCACAGCTACACAGACACACACTCAAAAGAAAAATTTTTCAAAGTATCTTTCCAACCTCAAGCAACAACTGTGAAGTGAAAGGATGTTCAAATCAGTCTTGCATGAATGCTTGAGTTGGTTTGTATTTTATCTCTAGTCTGTGAGGGTAATTATCACCTCCAACTTGAAGAGAAGCAGCTAACAGATTGGCCTGTATTACTGAGGACAAGGGAATTAATTAACTATTTGCTAATTACATCATAATCTTAAACACTAAATTAGTATTACGATGATCCTGATAGTCCTGATAGGCAACACTGACATTGCCAAATCCCTGTTACTGTGTGAGAAATATTCCAGCTACAGCACAGTGCTCATTTCACATACTCAAAACAACTTGGGCTACCCTCAAAGAAATATGGCAAATGCGCAACGCTCCGCCAGGCTTCTGACTTTATCAGAACACAGAAAACTCTGAAACATGATGCTGTCCAGCCTACCAAATTAATTCTCAACCAAGAATAGTTCACATTACAGAGTGAGACTGAATCTCAGAGACACAAAAAGACCTACACAATCAACTGGTCCCTCCCTTCTCCAATGCCAGATTACTTTCTTTAACTGATGTATCCAGTGCAGTGCTCAATGTCCCAAAGGCTTGGCCTTCCTTTTGATTCTACTGACCCTCAATTCCTTGTGCTCTTCCCACCACTCCTAAAACCATCCTCAGATCTCACCAAATCATGGTACAACGTTCCCTCAGTTGTATGTATATGTTCCTACATACAAACAAAAGCCAGTTCTCTCAGCAACTGGGAACTTCATCAACTTTCTGATGAAGATCAGCAAAGGACTACAGAACCACTATGCATTAAGTACAAGCAGATTCAAATCTTTCTAATCCATCTCAAATGAAATTTGTCTGAAGTTTTATAGTGCTAACCCAGCTTTCCTAACCACATATCCTTTCTCCTAGAATTTTTTTTTTTTTTGGTTACACCATACCTTATCTTAGATTCTTGCATCTGCTGCTGCAAAACTCACTTCTTAATTATCAGGGAGGTTGCTTTCCCCATCTACTTTGCCCTTGTGAGATCCCATCTGGAGCTCTGTGTCCAAGTCTGGGGCCTCCACCTCAAGAATGATGCAGAGTTGTTTCAGTAGGTCCACAGGAAGCCATAAAAATACACAGAAGGCTGCAGCACCTCTTTGATGAGGAAAGACTAAGAGCTGAGCTTGTTCAGCTTGGAGAAGGCTCCAGAAAGATCTCACTGAAGCTTTACAGTACTCAAGGAAAGCCTATACATAAGGAAGGACTTTTTATAACATCTGACAGTGACAAGACCAGGGGGAATGGCTCAAAACTACTGGAAGGGAGATTCAGGTTAGCTGTTAGGAAAAAGTTCCTTACTCAGAGGGCGGTGTGAATGCCCCATCCCTGGAGGGATTCAAGACCAGGCTGGATGGAGCCCTTGGCAGCCTGATCTAGTGGCTGACGACCCTGACCATAGCAGGAATCTGGAACTGGATGGTTCTTAAGGCCCCTTCCAACCTAAGCTATTCTATTATTCTATGAATTACAGCCTTTCAAATACAGCCTGCTTTTGGTTGGATATGCTCCAAACCAGAAACCTGGCCAGACCTAGATCAGAGGATATACAGGTTAGGTCCACATAGACTCCACCAGTATCGAAAGTTGCTTGCTACAGAACCTCAGTTTTCATTTACAAAATGAGCAAGGCCAGGAAATGAACATGTATAATTACTCTGTGTATAATCAAAGAATATTAGAATGTTATAATCACAAAATAAAGGAGAGTTAGGCAAAGTAGACTATGATAAAAAAAAAGAGAATAAATAGAAGGCTTACCCCTATCCTGAGCTCACCCACAAAACACCAGCAGAGGCAATCTCCAGAAGGAATCCTTCCCCACTGGCAGTCAGCTCTTAAATAGGTCTAGGAGGGGTGCAGCCAGGCTCCACCCCTTCCTGCAGCACAGGTGAATTGCCTTCAGCTGTGGCTGACTCATTGCTCGCCTCAGGTGATCAATCAGAGGTTCAGGCCATGAGCCAGCAGTTCCCATATAATCTGGTAGATTCAGCCTCTTTGTGGTCCAGAAATCAGACCAGTCTGCACTATTCAGATTAGAGCAGATCCCTGAACAGATCTTAAAGTGGAAAGGTAGAGATCACTGATGCAGCAGAAATGAAGAATCTCTCAAGACAAATCTGACCATATACAGTCCCATATATTAAAGCAACAGGATTCCAAAAGAAACAGAAAATTCTTGTTTGAATAATATACAGACACACAGACATAAGCACATTCTGCCACCAGAGCATTGACAGTACTTTGGGGAGGTCACTTCTAGCAGCAATGGATGCAGAACCCTCAAATGGATTTAAAAGCAAGGCCAGCAAAGGGCCACAACTTGTAACTTTACTGAAAGCATGCAATGTGAAACTCAAGAACGTTTTTAGGTTTGGCAGCATTTCAACTATAAACAAAAAACATCAGTGTCAACAGCACTGTATCAACAACTTGAGGAGCTCCCAGCTGACCTGTTGACACTTGGGAGCTAGTTAGCAACTGAAAGAGAGGGTCTGTACAGAATCACAAGTATTTGTGAACTCCAAATCTCTGAAACCCCTCTAGGAATCTTTCTGTACTATGAAACTTACTGTGGCAATGGCTCGGCCCACACGAACAACTCCAAAATCATTGGGATCCATGAACTTGTTGCCATACAGATAGATGCCAGAAGCAGCTGCTGCCAGCGAGGCAAGTTTCAAGGCCCTTCTTGCCATGACTGGTGATCCCTACTGAGACACAAAACAGCAACAGTTACATCAGAGAAAGACATAGTAATGCCTGGAGGGATCTGATTATCCAAGTTTTAATTGCTCCTTTGCTAATGATGTGCTGCTAGCACTGCCCCTAGCTAAGAGCTCGTGCAACTACACAGCAGCCAAGTGCAAGCTGCTCTGCTCTAACTTCATTATTTTTTCTAACTCTACAGTGCCTACAGACCACTAACCCAGAAGTGGTCTAGACTTTGCATATCCACCACAAAAAGATTTATTCGTGGTCCCAAACATTTTACAACAAGAAACAACAGGTGGACAGAGAAAAGGCAGCATATGCTCATCGTAAGTTGGTTCTTTATTACAGGAATAGGCTGCCTCCCTATTGCAAATGTTTTGAAGGTATGACAGCATAGTGAAATTATAAGGGTCTACTAGAAGAATTTAAAAAGCAGAGTTTAAAGAATGTTCTAACAATATTAAGAGAGGGCCCAAAACTGATTGGAAACTGCTAGGCTGCTTGTGAAAGCTCCTCAGTATTGATGAACACTGGAAAGAAGACGCGATGCATCCCTGCTTGTGGCTCCAGATAGCCGCATCCAACGTAGGGGATGGGGTCCTGATCAGTCACCAAGTGAGTGAAACTTGCTTTCTCATCAGCTCATCCAAATGCCAGGCTAGGAATGCACTGGCAGAACAGACAGATGCAGGCACCAACAGCCCAGGCCTGGCTCAAGCAGGGTGGGCCTCGGATGCATCACTTTTTTCCTCACCCCCCTTCCTCTGGCAGATGTGGGCAGAGATAAAGTTGTCAACCACACTAACCACTTTGCAGCGCTGTATTCCTTACTTACGGTGTGCAAGGCAGTGTAAGCATGTTGTTCATTAAAAATATTACATTTTTTTGTCTCATTCTGTCACTTTATAGGATTTAAACCTGAAAGAAAAACAATGGATCTGTGGTATTTTCCTCTCCTTCCTCTTATTAGTCAGACAGAAAACACAACTGAGCGGTCTTTCTGCTTACACCATGAATCAAGCAGCACGGATGGCTGCCTCACTCTGCAGGCTCTCAAGAGAACCTTTGACAGAGTGCAGGATTTTTACCCCGTGGAGAAGGACCGCGCTAATTGCCTTCATTCCAGAAAGTTTCCTGCTTCTCACTGTGCCCCTTTAGCAGGGTCTCCGGCTCGTGCCTTTTCTCTCAGAAGCCTAGTAACCAAAACACGCATGCAGCGACACGGGTCGCTGTTTCCAAAAGAACATCCGCTCGCGTCCTACAGGCCCACAACCAACCCCGAGCTGCCGGGCCTGGCACTGAGGGGGCCCGGCGGGCGACCGAGCGGGAGGAGCTCCGCCGAGGGGCGCGGAGAACGGCCCCGCCGCTCCTCCCGCTCGGCCGCCCGCAGCAGGCAGCGCGCACTTACCGCCCCGCCGGCTCCGCAGCACCCGGCGCCCGCTCCCCCCGCCCCTGGCACATGGCGCGGAGCTCCCCGCGCGGCATGCCGGGACGGGTAGTTCCCAGCCCCGGGGCGAGGCCGCCCGAAAAGAGTTGGAGGGAAGCGGCCCAACGCGCGCGGAGCGGGAGCGCGACAATTCTTTGAGTTCTTGTCTCCAATGGGATTCTGGAATCGACGATGGAAATTCAGTAATGTGCCTCCACGCTGCGTTCGTATTTGCGTGGATGCAGTTGCACACAAAGGCAGCCGAGAGTAAAGAGGGATTTAGGAACACGTCAATTACAAAGCAAAAGATGCAAGTTTATTGAGGAAGGAGTAATTGACCACGATGCTCAAGGACATACCTTGATGCCCAGCTCTCGTCCATGACGAAGGCAACCTGCCCATCTGTACCCTGGCTGTGAGACAATGCTAGATTAAAGACTTCCCTAAAAGATCCCAACAATACTGAGGGTATTTGCTGTTCCTATGAGGTTTTTTCTTTTTCTTTTCCATCCTCATGGACATAAATGCCTGCACAACGTGGTCTTACAGGTAAACATTCTCCTAAGAAACAAAGCATCCACAACTTAGGAAAGGCAGAACTACGATGTTTGTGTTAGTCAGCACATTCACCACCTCCACGGCTGAGGCTGATATTGGGCATAGCAGTGAAGTATCCGTTTAGAAGCTATCACCCTACTGTATCAAAGAGATCCGAAACAGGGGCTGTGTCCCCAGCACTACCTCTGATTCCTGACCACAGCTTGCTGGTTCTACCCAGGATGTCCAAGAACACGGCCCAGCCCAGGCCCCGCTCTGACTGCCACAACACAGGCATCGGCCGCATTCGCAACAAAGGGAGCAGGTCAGCACCCGACTTTGCCAGCCTCTCCTGGAAAATCTGTGTGAGGTTTCTTCACATTAATTCTGTTTTTGCAGCTCTCCATTAAACAGGCTGATTCTGGGTCTGCTGGGGCCAAAAAAAAAAAAAAAAAGCTTTTGTAGTATAACAATGCCATGTGCTGAAGTGCAGTGGGCAATTTTGTAAGCAATGCTCAATCTTTCTATAATTAGAACAAGCACCTAGCTAGAATGATCAGAGCTCTTTTGTGCGAGCCTCCACAGGGTACTCAAGAAAGAGCTTGGCTCAAAAGAAAGATGATGGCTTGATTTCCGCTTCCCTTTCAACTGGTGAATAAATTAAATCTCAGATTACCCCAAATTGCTGTGGAAAACGAAAAGTGAATAGTGTTTCCTTTTTTTTTACCTCCCAGGTGTGCATCTTATGAAATGCTGAACCATACACAAAGCCTCGGGCTTCACTGTCCAAGCACTGGAGTGGGAAGAGAATCAGATTGCCTGAGCAGAGGACCAGCCTTCATTGCTGAGAATCAACCTCTTTTTTAGATTTCCTATGATGAAAAATACAGAAAGCTATATGGAAAGTATCACCAGCATCTGTGCTGCTTGGAGAGCAGTGCTTTATATGAGCTGCAAAATCCACTTGTACTACTTTTTTATCCCTCTCCGCAAGAATCAAAGCCTTTGCTCAGCACTGTTGCCCAATGTCAGTTTAGACAAGTGCACTCCACCTCCATACCCCTCTCCTATAATTTCTGCTGGCAAAAAAATTCCTTTGACTCTGCTTTCTAAAGATGCGGGGAAGTTTCAACAGGCCACCAACATCCCCTGTCCAAAGAGGATATTTATTAGCTGTGAGTGGAATGCATAACCATGTTTACAGAACCATAGTAACAGAAAGATTACTATCACCTCAGAAGCATCTGAGATGATTTTTGCCTATCTGCAAAATTTTAATCTTCTAAAAATTATAACGAATATTAGAAATTAAACCAGTCTCCCTTTAAGTCATTCCAGATAATACAGACACAGCTTGAAGAATTTAAAGATTCTTCCAAAAGCACTAATCTAAACAGACCTGAGCTTTTTCCCCCAGCTATAATTATTCCTTCTGAATACTGCCTGTAATCCCAAAGAAGAGCAGGGGTTGCTGATGTTGCTGAACTTTTCCATCTAGATAAATCTCTTCTTTTTCACTGTTTAGCATCTTACCTGTGGCATAATTTATCCCTTGAGTTAAGAAGTGACATTTATTTTGATCATTTTTATTCCACAATGCGCAGTGACTATTAGGCATACAGGTATCTGATATTAGCAATAGCTTATTACATTACTTTGTATTGTCATCTTCATTTGTTACAAGATATTTCATGAGCCATTTAATTCTGCATTTGCAAATGTGGAAAGTGCTGAAGTAGATAAAAAATGATGGAGAGGATTTAACAGCCTAAAGCTACCCCAAAAGACTCCTTGGAATGCACCAGAAATACACACTGGAGGAAGTGTTCTCAAAACCAGCTGTGGTATTCACATGGAACTAAAAATGTCCCCACTGACAGCCAAGCCAAGGATGAAGTGCCTGAATACTTTACTCACCACACAGAAGATTATTTTGGCGTACTTGTGGAAATTGATGCACGTGTGAGTCTGATAGCGTTCCTGCCCAGAAATGCTAAGCAAAAAAGAGCATGGTAAAACAGAAATGAATTAATCTTTCTTTCCTAAGGATACGTATACTTGGGAAAAAAAGGGTTTAAGAATCTCAGATCCATTTCTTGCTTAATGTTTCTTTTTATCAAAGAAGAATCAGCCAGAGCTGGCATCTCTAATCATAAATAAGTCTGGTGCACACAAAGCCCAGAACTAGAGGATACATGAAGATGTATGGAAATGGTCAGCTCACAGAGCTGGGAGAAAATAGTAACTTTTCTTGTCTGACGCTGTGTATACTGTGGGACTTGATGCTTCACCTGGCCGTTCATATACAGACCCACGCACCCCAGGTTTGTCCGAAGGAGTCTTGTAATACTGACAGCATCTCTTCCCAGAATGCTTTCAGCTTTGATTAGAAGGTAACAAGGAATAAAAACCTAAACGAAGACTTTTCACAGTTTTCCAAAGCTTAATCATTCTCTTTGTTAAGTGTTTCTGCCTAATTTCTCATTTGAATCTCTCTGATTTCCTGTTTCCAGGGACAACACATTCTGTACTTAACCTCCACTCCTGATATAAAAGTTTGCATGATGTGGTATTGGATTTTATAGTAAACATGCTGGTTTTAAGAATTTACCTGCTCCCAACAAATGCTGCTTTAAACCAAAGCTTGAAAGTTCCATTTGGAAAATATTCAAATTTTCCAAACTTTCTACATCGACTTCATAATTTCTCAAAGAAATATATTTCAGTAAACATTTTTGTTCAGTTAAACCATTTACATCAGCATTTTTTAGTTTTGACATGCAACAGGTAATGCAGTGCAGGCACAAGAAGTTATCCACAGCTGAATTAGCAGCACATGCCTAAAATACAGACAGAGATGAGCTTACAGAGCCATGGGATTTTGAATAAGCCCATACAGCCTCATCATACCATACAGTCCGGTCTACACTGTGCTATGAACCCTACATACATGTAAGCTCTACATCAACCAATTTGCACATTAAAAGCAAACCACAAAAAGAAGCGGGTTCAGGTGAAATAAAGTGTTGAAAAAAGAACTGCTCCTGCTTATAGCCAAGGCAGCTATAAAGATCTGCAAACACAAACAGCCTACTGCCTGCATGGAGAGGGCAACCATGCAGCTGTGAGACTGAGGAAACCAGCAAAGCAGCAGCAGCACACTGCCCACATTCTGTTTTAGTTTGTGTCTGCCTTACAGGTTGGCTGCAATAGATCCCAAAGCTGTGTATTTACCACACAATGGTAGATGATGCACAGGAAGAATCAGGAACGCAGGAGGGAGAATAAGTCATTCCTCAACTCCAGACAGAAACAGGCAAAGGGCTTCTGACCAGGACCAGAACTGTCAGACAACAGCAACTCTGCTGCTAAATGACTGACAGGCAAGGGTAGGAGAGATGGCAGGTGAGCTTTGCTCGTGACAATTACTGATAAACGATATACGTCACAGTCTCATATGCTCAGCTTTGTCTGAAGAACTCCTGAGAGGCCCGCTGTCCTGGAGAGAAGGCAACAACTCTGTCACTCAGAGACGATGACAGAGCTGCTGCCACCAAAGCACAAACGCAAAACCCAAGTCCCAGCCGAGACAAGGTGCGCTTCAGCACAGGATTGCAAAGGGAACTCCTGACTCCTCCTCCAGCCTTCCCTTCCTAGAAATTCTGGCGGGTGGACGCGGGCTGCAGGACAGCAGGCAGCGCGCACAAACTGGGACACGGGAGATTCCATCTGAGGACTGGGGAGCACTAACTCACTGTGCGCGTGGCAGAGCGCCGCCACAGGCTGCCCAACGGGATCTGTTCATTGCAGATCTTCAAATGCCACCTGGACCTTGAACCACACGCACCCACAGGGTCCCGCAGCCTCCCCAGCTCTGCGGCTACACGAGGCGCCACGAGGAGCCTGGAGGCAACGCAAAGCAGCACCGCGCCGCGCGCTACCCGCCAGCCGCCACCCTCCGCACAGGCACCGCGGGCCTCCCAGCAGCCACTGCGCCGTCGGCGCGCGCACGCGCCCGTTCCGCAGCGTGCCGTCTCCCTGACTACAACTCCCAGCTGCTCGCCGCGGCGCACGCGCGTCTGCGGCGCGCGTCCCTCCCCCGGCCCGCGGCCTAACTCCGAGTGAGCGTTGGCAAGATGGCGCTCACCAGGTGCGTTCTTCTGCCTCCCGTGCTGTTCCGGTCGCGGTGACGAGGCGCTGGCGGCGGTGGGTGCGCAGCCGGGCGAGCGGCCCCTCCTGGATGCGGGCCGGGCCCGCGGGAGCTGCCCGCGCTGCCCGCTTTGTGCGGCCTAGAGCGGGACGGGGCCTCCGCACCGCTGCGTGCTTCG